CTGTTTTCAACTAGGAACCACGTGATTTACTGGAAAGTTACCGGATATGAAAGCATTCGAGTAGACTAGCACCATTCTGGGCAAAAGCAAACGGAACTACCTGTTAGGGAAAAAAAAAAAAAAAAAAAATGGAAATTTTCAGAATCCGTATGATTTGTGCGATACGGCCATATACGTAAGATTCACCACAAAATCCGTATGAACTATGGCTAAACCGTATGAGTTGACAGGTATGTAGATATGTTACAAAACAAACGAACAAACCAAAAAAAAAATCAAACTACCTATACATTAAAAAAAAAATCAAACCACTGAATAGAGATTTGTCACATAAATAACAGCCCTCATTCGTTACTTTTATTTTAGCACACAAGTCATTTCAAGAATAATCAAGTCTCAATACAACCTGTATCAATATTATCCCACAATGCCCACTCGTTAATAATGGAAAACATGTCATTTAGATAATCATAAACATTTCTAGTCCCCTGACCACTGAAAAGTGTCAAAGAGGCTCATTTTAGGGGCTCGTAAACTATGTCCATATTTGGTCCTCCTGAATGAAGCGGTCACAGTGTCGCCTGCAGCGTCTTGTCTGCGGTGGGTGTGAGTGCTTGTGTGTCAATATATGATTACAACTTAAGCAAAACGACTGCGTGTGCACTGTGCACCCTCGGCCACACGACTGAAACTATAAGGGAAGTGGGAATGATGTTGTGTCCTGATTATAGATTCAACTCGGGTGTAAATGAAGGAATTAATGTAGAAATGCCTGTGCATGGTGCGCGCCAACACCACCGTGTGCGCTGGGAGCACGAGAGTAGCGCGAAATTGCTCACGCGTACAATTTAGAGGGAACATTGTTCAAGCCGAGGTTGGTTACTGATTCACAGCCTCTTCAAAGGGAAACCATGCCTGCAAGCTGAATTCTCGCGGTATTTGTGAATTCACACAAACCCCAGAATCCACCTTGTCAAAAACTCGCCGATTTCAGTGCGGACCAATCATAAGGCAGCGGTGTGTTTGGGGGCGGGGAAAATTATGCAGTTATGACGAGAATTTCTCGTTTTACAATCAGCTTTGGTCAAAAATTAATGTTGTTTCACAGGTGTTCAAAATTTGCCATATCGCTCAATCAGTCGGAAGTATTGTAGTGAACGTCCCGCCTTTCCCGAGCAGATACATTGGATGGTAAACTTCAACAGCAACACTGAGTAACAACTCTGTTTATTGCTCAGCTAACTTTTACGATAGATCGTAACACATCGTAAAAGGTGGGCTTTCACCAGTTTGGATAACCACATTTCATATTCTAGAGCATTTGCTATATGCATCACGTAAAAAGGGACATTTAACTGTTTTGCAGCCAAAAATAACGACTGCATTGCTCAACTGCTGGTTCATACATGACCAGCACATAACCCACAATTTGCAGTCATTCCAGTAGTTTCTTCAAATTCCGGTCGGTACTAACACTGATTGGGAGGAATGTTGGCGCCATTTATATATTTTATGAGAGACGCCCACAAGGTATAAATCGTTATAAATCAGTCAGACATTGCTGATGATTTGTTGTTTCCTTTAATTTAACTAACTTGGATAGTTTGAGCTTTGCCGAGCTTTTCCATGTTTTTGAAGATTAACATGATATAAAGTACAGTCATACCATGCATGCCCCCGGACCCCCCTAAAAGGGCTGTGTTCCCCTTGGGGCTAAGCCCCCCTTGTTCTTCAAACCTAGTGACGCCCCTGCATACCATATCGAATCAAACCATAATCCCATTGAATTAAAGCACAGTGAATCATTACAATTTGAAATTATTACATCCTGCTTGTGATAGAAAGTGACTTTGTAATGCAGGTTTATATGCAACAGCCTTAGAGCTCCCTCCTGTGGTTGTTTGGTATATTCTTTGCTGATGGAGAAAACCACACAAACCCAATATGGCCGGACGTTCTTGTCACGCTGTTGAACCTGAATCCTATTTTGTTGTGGCCTTGGACAAGAATTATCCGCGAATATACCTGAGGGCAAAATAATAATGCTGACCATTTGTTTTGGTAATCGTTATATTTGACTTGAAATCTGAAACTGTTGGACATACGATGTAACATACTTTTTGCAGGACAGTGCGTGAGGTACCTTAACTCCGTGATTCCCAACCAACTGAGCCAAGGCACATATTTTAAGTCCGCAAAATCTCATGGCACACCACCAAACAAAAATGTCACAAAAAGTGGGTACCACATGTCAATTTATATATTTTCTGTTGTTGAAGGGATCAGTTATTGGTTCTATCTGTCACTACCAGTAGCTGCCATAGATGGATGGATAAAATACATTATTTGTGATAGATAGATAATTTATGACCATCCATCCATTATCTGATCTGCTAATCCTTACAAGGGTCGCAGGAGTGCTGGAGCTTCTCCCAGTTGTCTTTGGGCACTAACTAAGCGGGGTACACTCTGAACTGGTTACCAAGCAATCACAGGGCGCACACAGACCAACAACCATTCACACACACAATGACACCCAGGGACAATTGAGAGTGTTCCATTAAACTGCCATGCCCCGCGGCCTTTGTCACTGATGGATGGATATAGAGGAGGTCCCCAAAATGTGAACACAATACGTTCTGAGAGGCTGATTGTAAGCTTAATTGTTCGGAAATCAAAACACATTAAATTTCAATTTATAATTGTCATTTGGGGTTATTTAAAAAATATGTATTGTAGCGTGGTGCCGACGGAGATGGGGGATGTGTGATGCAAATACTTTCCTCTGCTCTTTATCTATTTTCCAACCGCCTCTTCTGATCTGGCAGCCTGGGGCCCTTCACCATGGACCCTGCGTTGTACCTCGTCAATCTCAAATTGTGACAGCAATTGCCGTTTGTGGATGTTGGAACACTGAGCTACTAGTTGTTTCGTGGTCAACCGTGACTGTGGGTTTCAAGTAACCATTCAGCCCGCATTTTCTGCATGTAACCCCTCTGACTAGGGTTGCTTGAGTAGTAGCATTCCAACAGAGCCATGTTATCGCATCTCGCCCATCTCCGCTTTGTTCCAGTAGCCCATTTTTCGTCAAGGTGCTCTGGTTCCCCAGCACCTGACGCAGACCTTGTTTGGCCGGGCGACGTCTGAGCCGGCATGTCATTCGATTTATTGTCTCTCTCCCTTGTATGAGGTAGGCATTAGCGTGAAGGGTCTTGCCCAAGGACCCACACTGGATGGTGTTATGTGCTCATTTTTTTGCCCCAAGCGGCATTCGAACCCCGTCTCCCATACGCCAAACCAGTGCCTTATATATATATATATATATATATATATATATATATATATATATATATATATATATATATATATATATATATATATATATATATACAGTATAGCTATATTTCTATCTACACACACAAACACACACACACACACGCGCACACACACACACACACACACACACACATTCCAAGTCACAAGTGTGTGTTTTTGATATTCATCTTTCTGTCAATAGGGAGACATTGATGAAGAGAGTGCAGAGCAAAATGACAGAAAGGTAAGTTTTCCAAACTCCACCACCACCATTTTGAGCTTTAATTTATCACTAATTGGGAACAATTGAGCGATTGCTACATACAAGACTAGATACTGGATATTAACCAGAAATATAAAACAAAATGGAAATGATGTCTCATTAACTATTTTCAACTAATTCTGAACAAAAACCTACATAAATGTAAAATATAAAGTGATAATATGACCTATTCTCTTATAAAAAGCAACATAATAATCATCACTTGAAATAAAATCACAGTTTCGTGAGCATTTTTAATTGGAAGGTTGTAGCACATTATTGAAAACCATTCCCTTAATTTCACCATATACAATTATAATATTTGTTTTTGTTTTTTTAACCTAAATATGTACTAATGTTTACGATTGGATCCAGCATGGCTAAAGGCATATTACGGTAATAATTTATAAGAAAAACACTTGGTGGCCATAAGTATAAAACAGTCAAATGAAAAACAACAATGTTGTAACTGAACTAGTTCAATGAATGAAAGTTCATGAACACGTTCATATTTTGGGCCAACGCGAACTGAACTTAGTGTATTTTATTCCAATGTACGTTTTTTGAACAGCAGTTCATTTTGTTCAAGAGTGCCAGGTTTTCTCGACAGAAAACCCGACTAAACACATTGTAAAAAAGCCTTAATTAGGTATAAAAAGCCATTATTTAGCAACCCCAGCCAACAACAGTCAAACGGCTCATGTGTCATCCAAATGTGATGCATGTTCAGTAGGAAAAACAAAACTCAAACGCACAACGATGTAACTCACAGCAGCACTATAAGCAGCTCCACCACCCCTGACTTGGGAAACTATAAGGTATCCTCTTTATTTTATTAAACAGTAAGAATTTCCCTTTAAACAAGGACCCACAACAATCAAGCCAATTTATGAAAGAACAATCGTATCTCCACTACATTTCACATTACGTTTTTCTCACGGATGGCAGAAGCGCACCATTGTCTACATCCTTTTCATAGACTTTTGTTTTGTCTTTAATACTATCACCACATAACAGCTGGAAGAAAAAACGCAACTGTAAAAGCTAGACTTTGGCCCCTGCAATTTGGTCCTCTGCTTGCTGTCACGACAGCAGCAGAGCAATGGGAATTAAACACTAGCGTCTCCAGGGCTACGTCCGCAGTCCCCTGCTCTTTAGCCTGCTCAACGACAGATCATCAAGTTTAAGGATGACGCAGCAGTGGTGGGTTTTCTAAATGTAGATCAGTAGTTTCCAACCTATTTTGGCTTGTGTACCACCAAACTTTTTTGTCATGAGTACCCGTGACTCATATGTGTTGATGATTCACCAAAGGTAGAACGAAACACAACTGATCATTAAATAAAATCATTTTATTTAAATTAATTTGAACATTTAATTTTTTACCTCAAATGAAACACACTGCAAAACTTGAGCTTCTTAAAATAAGTTCTCTTTAAACAGGCATTGAACTTTAAATCTCAGGAGCAACACACTTAACAAGACTAATATTCATGCTCACTATAGCAGTTTTACATTCTTTTCATCAGCCATTTGAGCTTTAATGAGACACTTGAGCTGAAAGGCGGTTGTTGTGATATTGGTGCTGCAGTACCTCAGGAAATTAATCTGGAAAATAAATGATTAAATCTTTTCATGTACCCCCTGCAATGTGCTCACGTAATGTATCCCTGGTTGAGAAACGCTAATGTAGATGACCTTAGCATCGGCACTGTATAATCATGTGCTTTGTTTGCGAACAACAAAGTAAAATATTTGAAACCTCTCTCAAATTTATGATGAGAACAACGCATTTGATATGTACAGTATATACACCGACTTTGGGCATGGTGGTCGACTGGTTAGCACGCCGGCCTCACAGTGCCGAGATCCAGGGTTCATTTCCAGCACCGGCGCTCCTGTGTGGAGTTTGCGTGTTCTCCCCGTGCCTGTGTGGGTTTCCTCCAGGTATTCGTTTCCTCTCACATCCCCAAAATATGTATGCCAGGATAATGGAACACTCTAAATTGTTCGGAGGTGTGAATGTGAGCGCAGATGGTTGTTCGTCTATGTGTGCCCTGCAATTGGCTGGCAATCAGTTCAGGATGTACCACGCCTACTCCCCGAAGACAGCTGGGATTAGGCTCCAGCATGCCCGTGACTCTTGTGAGGCGAAGCGGATTAGAAAATGGATGGATGGATGGATGGATGGATGGATGGATGGATGGATGGGATGGATGGATGGATGGATGGATGGATGGATGGATGGATGGATGGATGGATGGATGGATGGATGGATGGATGGATGGATACCGACTTTGCATGAGTTCTTTTCGAATGACCCATACATTGACATGCTGGGATATAAATAACAGTGATCTGTTTCTCAGCTATTGTATGAGGAGTGGGCAAACTACAGTGTCTTCTACAAGTACCAGCCCATTGGACTAGTGAGGTAAATCTGTCTGTCTCTGTTCATTCATCGACAATATCTATCGATCTATCTGTCTATCTGTCCGTCCGTCTACCTTGAACAAAATGGAAACACACTATATAAAAATTTTAAAGGATATATTTTAGATGTCATTAAATGAGTGATGGATATTGGTTTGGAGGAGTTAATAAAAATCAGACTCATAATCAGGAAGATTTTATATGGGTGCACCTAGTATCTGTCTGTCCGTCTGTCTGTTAGTCTCTATCTCTATCGGCAAACTTCACTTCTAAAACAAGTATATTTAGCATCAGAAAAGAAGTGTTAGTTCTGGAGAGAATTAATTTGTCGAAGCCAATTAATGTGTTCATGTAAATATACAAAGTCCATTTATTCCCCTCTCTGGTAGCTAATTTTATTTTGTCTGTCATTTTGTGAAGGAAATACTTTGGAGAGAAGATTGGACTGTACTTTGCCTGGTTGGGACTGTACACCCAGATGCTGATACCTGCTTCTCTGGTGGGAGTCATAGTCTTTTTGTATGGATGTGCAACAGTCGATGACAATATACCAAGGTAAACCTCATTACAAGAAAATATTTAAAAACAAAAAAAACAACAACAAAAACAAAAAAAAAAACCCAAATATACACACATGCACACAAAGACACATACACACACACACACGCACACACACACACACACACACACACACACACACACACAGTTACACTTGTCAAACAAAAACAATTGTACAACCTCTGGGAATACTTAAAAGGCATTAAATGACATAATTGTATAAAAAGTCAACACCTCTAAATCACCTGCTGGACTGCTTTTGCCTGCAACGCAAGACTAATCAGTCCATGCTTTTGCCGTCATTTTGATTTTCAGTGGGTGTTTATTTGTGTTGTTTATGTAGACGTGGGTGTTTACACATCACCATTGGGTGGATTTTATTGATATCAGGTTTGTAATTATGGTCCAGTGTGTACGTTTGTGCTGTCATCACTGGCAGAGTTGGCTCCTATCTGTGTAGGAAAGGCAGTGCCACACACTGTCAAGATGCAACGTACTCGACAGCAAGTAGAACAGGATGGGAAGGCACAGGACAGGGTTGGAAAGTGAGGCAAGTATTGCTACCGGTGTATGGTGGGAGTGTTTATGCGGTGACTTAATACCTGTATGCAAGTTAGATGACAAACGAGAGAACAGTCCAGGGAGTTAACTCAAAGCAACACAACTAGATTTTTGTACAGTAGGTCATTAAAACAACGATTTCTGGATAGACAGTGCTGTACATGGAGTAGAAATCAGTCATACAATAACAAAGACAGTGAAAACAGTTAATACCACAAATAAATGATTTTTTAAAAGTATTAATTATGAACCAATAAATGAATCAATCAATTCATTCATGAATCAATCAATTTTACCAATTAATCCATACCAACACAAATCCAACAGACACCATAAAACACACTGGAACATTGCCAAGTCTCATGCTGAGTTGAAAGCCAAAAGAATAAAAATGTGTCTAAAAACAAGTTTTAAAAATGGACAGAGAGGGGCCTAACATTTAACAGAAAGTCATTCCAAAGGGAAGGACCAGCAATGGAAAATGTCAATCCCCTCTGAGACTCTGCCTGGTTCTCAGTACCTGTAGCAGCACCTGGTCTGCAGAACTGACCTACTAGGTAGGTGCATGGGGGGCTCAGGGATAGGGGGCGAGACAATTAAATATTTGAAAACAAAAGCATCTTAAAATGAATTCTCAAATGAAAAGGGAGCCAATGAAGGGAGGCCAGAATTGGAGTTATGTGCTCCCCCTTATGAGCACCAGCTAGGAGGCAAGCAGCAGCATTTTGGACCAACTGGAGGCGCTTGAGGGAGGACTGGCTGACTACATAATAATTACAGTAATACCACCAAGATGTACCAAAGTTATGGATTACTGTTTCTAAGTGCTGTTGAGAAAGGAGAGGCTTGACATTAGAGTTAAGGTAATCATAAAGGCATCATCACTTTTGAGTGGCTCCACATCACATACATGGCAATTTTCCGCGGATCCGCGGAAATCCGCCGTTTTATTTCTTAAATTGATCATTTTTGTGAATCGTCTAAATCCGTTGAGAAAATTTTAGGGGCGGTCAGGTACCTTATCGTCGAGTTTTCACGAGCTCTCCCGAACAGTCTCTCCGTTTTCCGTTTGTAAACAGCCCTGCGATTGGACGTGTATGAAAGCTTCAACTAATCAGATCACCGAAGGCATTATTTGTTGCGGAAGTCTTAGCTCGATTATAAACGGCCCAGCGATTGGTTAACTACAAGCGATTGGACCAATCAAATTGCATGTAACATATTGTTTTACCTGATTCATGGCGGCCTGTTCGTCTCGCAAATTTATTGTTCTGGGATCGTTTTGAGCGGAATTATGAAATTTTTGACGAAAGATCAGGAGTCTTTAATCCTAGAAATTGACTCAAATGTCAAGAATAAATT